CAGCAGATGCACCTCCAAGCAGCAAAAGCCAAGCAGCTAAAGGAACACTTAATTTTTCATCAACAGCACTTACTAAGAAGACAGCAGCAGCAGCAGCAGCAGCAGCAACAGCAGCAGCAGCAGCGGCTAGCACAGAAAGTGCAGCAACAGCCTCAGCTGCCCTTGCAGCACCAGCAGCCGCAACAACAGCAGCAGCAACAACAACAACAACAACCACAACAGCAGCAGCAGCAGCAGAAGCAGCAGCCAGTTCACTATGCACAGTTGCATGCAATCAATGTGCAGCAGGGCGCACAGCGACACCAACAGCTGCAGAAGCAGCTGCAGCAGCTGCAGCAGCAAAACCAGCTGCAGCAACAGCAACAAAAACAGCTGCAGCAACAGCAACAACAGCTGCAGCAACAGAAACAGGTGCAACAGCAGCAGCTGCACCAACAGCAGCTGCAGCAACAGAAACAGCTGCAGCAGCATCAGCTGCAGCACCAACAAATGCACCAGCAGCAGCTGCAGCAACGGAAACAGGTGCAGCAGCAACAGCTGCAGCAACAACAGCAGCAGCAACAGCAGCAGCAACAGCAACAGCAGCGGCACCTTCCCCTAAGAAGGAATGGGCTGCAAGCTGTCCTCTGTCGCAGCAGCGTAGCGCCTGCTGCAGCAGCAACTGCAGCAGCAGCAACTGCAGCAGCAGCAAAGGAACGGACAGGAAGCAAATGCCAACCCCACAACCGCACAATCGACGAGGGAGCAAAGCAGCAAAAAGAACAGCAGCAGCAGCAACAGCAGCAGCAGCAGCAACAGCAGCAGGTACTAATCGAGACAAAAACTTCAACAACAGTTCAACTAGATGATCAGCAGCTGCAGCAGCAACAGCAACAGCAGCAGCAACAGCAACAACAGAAGCAGCAGCTGCAGCAAAAGGACGGAGTAGCTGGGGAAATTCCTATACTCTGCCCCAGCAGCCGTATCCGCAGCAAGAGCAGCAGCAGCAGCAGCAGCAGCGACAGCAGCAGCAACAGCAGCAACAGCAGCAACAGCAACAACAGCAGCAGTGGGGCAGTATGGTGCCCAAGCGATCATCCACCCCCCAACAGCAGCAGCAGCACCAGCATTGTCCCCGTGCCTAGCAGCAGCAACAGCAGCAGCAGCAACAATAACAACAGCAGCAGCATTATCCCCATGAGCAGCAGCAGCAGCAGCAGCAGCAATGAGGGATTAGATTGGCAAAAAGGGAGTGTTTGTGTATCAACAACAGCTGCCCCCCCTCCTCCTCCGCTTCCTGCTCCTACGCCTCCCCCACCCCCTGCTGCAGCAGCAGCAGCAGCATTATCTGCTGCTGCTGCTGCTGCTGCCTGCCCTAGAGAACGTACACTAATAATTATAGACTATGATGATACATTGCTGCCTACTAATTGGCTGTCTGTACAGCACAAGATAGGACTAAGGGACGAGGTACCTAATAGTATAGCAGCAGCACTGCAGCAGCTATGCATGCATGTAGTATATACACTACAATTATGTGCAGCAGCAGCAGCAAGAGTATGTCTTGTTACTAATGCTAGTAAGGAATGGGTACTTAGATCTGCTGCTAAATTTATGCCTCTGCTGCAGCAGCAGCTGCAGCAGCAGCAAATCACTCTTGTGTCTGCAAGGGATTTGCTGCAGCAGCAAGGACTGCCACAGAAGCTATGGAAGATAAGGGTATTTACGGATATAGTGCAGCAGGTATTGGGGCCCCTGCTGCAGCAGGGGCCCCAGGGGGCCCCTTGCTGTCTACTATCCATAGGGGACGGTAACGGGGAGAGGGCTGCATGCCTACAGCTATGCAGCAACTATAAGGAGACAAAGGGACTATTTAAATCCCTAAAGTTGCTGCAGCAGCCAACTTGCATGCAGCTGCTGTCGCAACATTTGCTGCTGCAGCAAGCATTCGTAGAGATACTGCAGGTACACCAGAGTCTAGATATGACGGTACTTGATTACAAGACACAGGAGCAGCAGCAGCAGCAACAGCAGCAGCAGCAGCAAATGCAACAGCAAATGCAGCAGCAGCAGCAGCAAGGAGGGGAGCAGCAACAGGGAATGGTGATTAATGGGGATGGAGAGCAGCAGCAGATGCAGCAGCAACAACAAATGACATGCTTAAAGACTACAGTTAATCACACGCAGCAGCAGCAGCAGCAGCAGCAGCAGCAGCAGCAACTGCAGCAGCAAATGCTGCTGCAGCAGCAGCACATGATGATTCAATCACCTGGGGAAGGGGAGGGACTTACACTGCTGCAGCAAGTGCAGCTGCAGCAGCAGCAAATGCAGCAGCAGCAGCAGAACAACGGGAACAAAATGACAGAATTGGTACACCATAAACAGCTGTCAACACAATCAGCAGCAGCAGCTGCAGCAGCAGCAGCAGCAGAAGCAGAAGCAGCAGCAACTGCAGCAGGAAATACAGATGATTTTATTGACAAAATAAGTGCTGAACTAGCACAGCAGCAAAACGAACCCT